GGGGGGGGTCTCTCACCAGGATGGCTCCGTACACTTTGTGCCCGTCCGCCTTCACCTGCGCGTTGGACACGGAGTTGTCGTCCAGCACGGCCTGCAGGCTGGCGCCGTACGAGGGCAGGTGGGGGAACAGGACGCCTTCCACTGCCTGGGGGGGGAAAGGGAGCACAGCACCCCCAAAATCCCGAAGGGCTGGGACCCCATCACCCCAGAACCCCCGAATCCCAAAGGGATGGGAGCCCCAGCAGCCTGGAATCCCCCAAATCGCAAAGGGATGGGAGCCCAACATCCTGGAATCCCAAAATCCAAAGGGATGAGAGCCCCCAAAATATCCCCAGAATCCCCAAATCCCAAAGGGATGCGAGTCTCAAAATCCCAGAATCCCCAGATTCCAGAATCCCAAACCCCTACGATTCACAAATCCCAAAGGGATGAAGGCCCCAAAATCCCGGAATTCCCAAATCCCAAAGTCCCAGAATCCTGGAAGGTCCTGGAAAGTCAAAGAACCACGGGATGGAAAGGTCCTTGAAAGTCAAAGAACCATGGGTTGGGTTGGACAGGTCCTTGAAGGTCAAAGAATCATGGGAGGGGTTGAAGGGTCCTTGCAGGCCAAAAAAAAACCCAATGGGACAGAAAGGTCCTTAAAGATCACAGAATGATGGGTTGAGAAGGTCCTTGAAGGTCAAAGAACCATGGTAAGGATTGAAGGGTCCTTGAAGGGCAAAAGAACACCCAATGGGATAAAAAGGTCCTTAAAGATCACAGAGTGATGGGTTGAGAAGGTCCTTGAAGGTCAAAGAACCGCGGGTTGAGTTAGCCAGGTCCTTGCAGGTCACAAAGAGCCCCCCCATCACCCTCTCACCTTCCAGCCCAGAGCGTGCAGCCCCACAACGGCCCCATAGTGGGAGCAGAGCGGGCGCACGGGGTCAGCCAACACCTTCTGGAGGGCCAGCAGCACCTGGGGGTGCAGCCCGCTCAGCTGGTCGCCATGCAGCCTGTGGGGGGGGGGGGTAGGGGGGTGACCCACTGCGGGGCCACCCGTCACCCACCATGGGGTCACCCAGCCTCTTTGGGGTCACCCATCGCTTTCCGTGGGGTCAGTCTCCATAGGGCCACCCATTATGCTCTATGGGGCCACCCAACGCGCCCCATGGGGCCACCAACTGTCCTGTGTGGGGTCACCATCTATGGGAACAATCTTTATGAGGGCACCATCTATGGGGCCACCACCTATGGGGCCACCAATAGCCCTCTATGGGACCACCATAGGTCACCATCAATCGGCCCACCATCTATGGGGCCTCTATGGGGTCAACCTCTATGGAACCAACAGTCACCCATCATGGGAACACTCTTCATGGGGTCAAACTCTATGGGGCCACCATCTAGGGGACTGCTTTTTATGGGGTTAACCCCTATGGGACCAACAATCACCCACCATGGGAACGCTTTCCATGGGGTCAATCTCTATGGGGCCACCACCTACGGGGCCACTGATAACCATCTATGGGGCCACCATCTACGGGGCCGCCAGTAACCCTTTATGGGGCCACCATCTGTGGGGTCACCATCAATGGGGCCATCCTCCACGGGGTGACCAACTATGGGGCCGCTCTTTATGGGGTCAACCTCTATGGGGCCACCAATCCCCC